AATATATCATTTTTTATGACAAAATCACAAAAAAAAGCTTCCTTCCAAAATATAATTAGCTTTGACAATAATTATAACAATATGAAAAAGTAATAGGATATGTAAAATATTGAAAATTGAATATTGTTATTGAAAATTTTGATAAACTACTTTAAAAAATCCATTTTGTAATAAAAATAAATTTTCTTCAGTAGTATATCAAAATTTTCTTGTACAATTCTTATAAAATAGTGAAAAATATTATCGCTATTTCATAAAAAAAGTACATTTATATAAAAAAGGATAGTTGGATTTTGTTTATGTATATTTTATAAGCTTGATTTTTTGCATCACTTATTCAAAATATATAAACAAATCCAAAAATCCCTTTTATATAAAAATCAAATCGTTTCATAATAATGATCCTTCCGCAGGTTCACCTACGGAAACCTTGTTACGACTTCTCCTTCCTTTAAAAGATAGGATTTACGGTTTTTCCAGAAAAAAAGAAATATAATTCCCCTCTTTCTTGTCCAAACAATTCATCATATCTTTCAATCGGTAGGAGCGACGGGCGGTGTGTACAAAGGGCAGGGACGTAGTCAGCACAATCTGATGAATCATGCTTACTAGGCATTCCTCGTTCAAGATTAATAATTGCAATAATCTATCCCCATCACGATATATATTGATAAAGATTACCTACACCTTTCGGCGGAGGAAAAGTATACATAAAATACAAAGTATTTAAAAAATACCAAATATAAATGTATATTTTTAATAACTCGTTATATATATCAGTGTAGCACGCGTGCAGCCTAGTTCATCTAAGGACATCACAGACCTGTTGTTGCCTTAAACTTCCTTGTGTTAGACACACAATGTTCCTCTAAGAAGCTTTACAATCAAGCAAGTACATTCTTAAAAGAAGAATGAAATAGAGTAAAAAACAAATTATTAGTAAACAGGGAAAAGGATATTTTAATAAAAAATATCCTAATTTGATGTACTCAATAAATGTATAATTACCTATATTCAATTTCAATTAAGAATATGGTGTACTTGCCGCTAATTAGCAGGTTAAGATCTCGTTCGTTATCGGAATTAACCAGACAAATCATATTCACGAACTAAAAACGGCCATGCATCACCATCCAAGAAATCAAGAAAGAGCTATTAATCTGTCAATCCTACTCTTGTCTTAAACTAGTGAGTTTTCCCGTGTTGAGTCAAATTAAGCCGCAAGCTCCACGCCTGGTGGTGCCCTTCCGTCAATTCTTTTAACTTTCTCGCTTGCGCGAATACTCGCCCCAGAACCCAAAGACTTTGATTTCTCATAAGGTACTGAAGGAAGCAATCTAAAAGTCACCTCGAAAGATGACTTTTATTTTTAACACTTTCATCCAACACCTAGTCGGCATAGTTTATGGTTAAGATTACGACGGTATCTGATCGTCTTCACTCCCTTAACTTTCGTTCTTGATTAATGGAAGTATTTTAGACAAATGCTTTCGCAGTTGTTCGTCTCCAGAAAATCTAAGAATTTCACCTCTGACATCTGAATACGAATGTCCCCAAGCTACTCCTATTAATCGTAACTAAGCCAAAATAAGAAAAAAGAACAAAAAATTTTAGCTTGTTCAATTTTGTTATTCCATGCTGTAGTATTCAAACACAGTAAAATGCTTTAACTGTTTGCTTTGAACACTCTAATTTACTCAAAGTAACAAAATCCCCAAAAAGCAAAAGCAAAGTGGGGATTTTAAAAAGAATCTTTTTTATTTAAAGAACATAATAATAGGAGAAAGCAATTTAAAGGCGTGAAGCCAAAAAATAGTTCACCTAAAATAGTTACTTTAAAATATCGATTCTTTGAAATTCAACTACGAGCGTTTTAACTGCAACAATTTTAATATACGCTATTGGAGCTGGAATTACCGCGGCTGCTGGCACCAGACTTGCCCTCCAATTGTTACTCTGGGAAGGTTTTAAATTCCCACCATTCCAATTACAAAACCAAAAATTGGCCTTGCATTGTTATTTCTTGTCACTACCTCTCTTCTTTAGAATTGGGTAATTTACGCGCCTGCTGCCTTCCTTAGATGTGGTAGCTATTTCTCAGGCTCCCTCTCCGGAATCGAACTCTAATTCCCCGTTACCCGTCATAGCCATGTTAGGCCAATACCCTAACATCAAAAGCTGATAGGTCAGAAACTCGATTGATACACACTAAATAAAATAAATTTATTACGTGTTACTTCTTTGTTATAATTCCTTAAGTTAATAACTTTTTTCTTATAAGGCCTAACAAATACTTATCCAAAGATAAAAATCAAAGGATAATAAAGCAAGTATTAGCTACAGCTTTTCCGTAGTTATCCTTATAATCAAAATGTCAAGTAGACTATAACTGTTTTAATGAGCCGTTCGCAGTTTCTACATATAAAATATATATATACTTTCACTTGCATGGCTTAATCTTTGAGACAAGCATATGACTACTGGCAAGATCAACCAGGTTACTATATATATTATTTTCTATTCATGAAATGAATACTTATTATACAACAAAAGAAGGAAAATAAAAATAGCATTTTATTATCTTTCCTTTTGATGTATTCAAAAATCCATTTATGAATATATTAATAATATAAATATTGTTAAAATGTTTTTAAACTCAAAAAAAGCAATGAAATAAAAGTTATTCTTTTATTTATTTGCTTTTTTTATTTAAAAATACATTTGATGTTTTATTAGTGTTATTATCTTTAGACATAGAATTATTTTTTTATAAAAAAATATAATATATAATTCCATGAAAAGACATAGAGCACCTAATTAATTATAATACATTTTTATATTATTTAAAAAAGCATTATAATAATTATGATGCTTTATTTTATGAATAATAATAATAATATATAGTATATAAATTAACAGATTTACATTAAATAAAAATACTTTACTTTTTTCACTTAGTTCAGTATTTTCTATTCCTTTTGACAAAAACTTTTACCTCACTATGAAGCAAAAATTTTAATAAAATGGTCTATTAATTTTTTTTTTGGTCTTTATTTCTTTTTGTATAGTAAAAAAAAATTAATGCAAAATGTTATTGCTTAAATTTATGGAAAATCTTAATTATTTTTCGTAATATTTTTTTTTGTTTTTGGAATTACAAAACTGCAATAAAGGAAAAACAACATATTACAATTTTGTTTGTATTAAATAATTTGGCATAAGTAAATTATATTTTATTATGGGTACTATTATTATTTCTTATGCATAATTGAATATGTTTTTTTTATTGCAAGAAACTTTAATTTTAAAGAAGATAATTATAAAATATTAAAAGTTGAAAAAAATTTCTTTTGTTTTTTGTTCATCGTCTTTTCATTAAATATAATTGATGATAATATTAAAGAAGAAATAACAATTATATTTTTCATAAAATAAATAATAAAAACATTAATATTTTATGTTATTTATTTTACATATAAATATAATTAATTTAATTCCTCATTATTATCAATTATTAATTATTAATTATTTAATTATTTTAAAAATACATAAAAATATGGTCTATTTATTTTATAAAAAATTAAAAAAAAATTTTTTTTTGGCTAACTTTTTTTTGAAGCCAAAAAATTTTTTTTTTTTTTTTTTTAATAATTCAAAAAAAATTAACTTTTTTTATTTCTTCTTTCTTTACTAATTCCTTTTTAACGAGCAGCCCCCCAATGCTCATTTGCGCTTATTTATTTTTCATCGAAATTTTTTTTTTTCTAAAACTTTGAATTTTTTTTGGAAGCTTTTAGATAAGTAATTCCTGATTACATTATATTATAATTATGACAATATATAATACATAATTATATGAATATATATTATTCAATAATTGCATTAGAATTATATATTCATATAATGTATATATTATAATATACTTAATGGCCACATAAGCTTTAATGGTCTTATTCATATACTATATATAATGTACATATATAATATATATATATAATTATGCGTAGTACGTACTTATATAAGAATAGCAATTCTTATATTTATATTATATATACATTTAATTATATATATTATTACTGTATTATATACATTTTAGTGCATTACTTAATAATATAATAACTAGTATTATATTATATTATGATATATTAGACTTCATGATATAATAATAGTTTAATGACAATATAATATAATTTTTATTAACTCATATATTGTAAATATTCGATTTTCATTCCTAAGTTCATTTAGTGCAAAGAAATTTTAATATTTAAATAATAGTCCTTTATTTTAGTTTTATACAATATTATTTTTATTTCTTTTATTATATATATATATAAATAATTTATTTAATAATACGATATTAATAATTTATTTCTTTAAATATCAGGATTAATAATATTAATTATTTATTATTTTTACTTTTACAAATTATAATATAATATACTTTATCCCTTTTAGTATTTATTATTAAGCTTTTACTGTTTCATTCTTTATTTTTATCATTCATTTCATTTCTTTATTTTAATCATTCATTTCATTTCTTTATTTTTATCATTCATTTCATTTCTTTATTTTAATCATTCATTTCATTTCTTTATTTTTATCATTCATTTCATTTCTTTATTTTTATCATTCATTTCATTTCTTTACCTTTATCGTTCATATCATTTCTTTGTTTTAATCATTCATTTCATTTCTTTACCTTTATCGTTCATATCATTTCTTTGTTTTAATCATTCATTTCATTTCTTTATTTTAATCATTCATTTCATTTCTTTACTTTTATCATTCATTTCATTTCTTTATTTTTATCATTCATTTCATTTCTTTATTTTTATCATTCATTTCATTTCTTTACTTTTATCATTCATTTCATTTCTTTACGTTTATCATTCATTTCATTTCTTTACCTTTATCATTCATTTCATTTCTTTACCTTTATCATTCATTTCATTTCTTTACTTTTATCGTTAATATCATTTCTTTACCTTTATCGTTAATATCATTTCTTTACCTTTATCATTCATTTCATTTCTTTACTTTTATCATTCATTTCATTTCTTTACTTTTATCATTCATTTCATTTCTTTACCTTTATCATTCATTTCATTTCTTTACCTTTATCATTCATTTCATTTCTTTACTTTTATCGTTAATATCATTTCTTTACCTTTATCGTTAATATCATTTCTTTACCTTTATCATTCATTTCATTTCTTTACTTTTATCATTCATTTCATTTCTTTACTTTTATCGTTAATATCATTTCTTTACCTTTATCATTCATTTCATTTCTTTACCTTTATCGTTAATATCATTTCTTTACCTTTATCGTTAATATCATTTCTTTACCTTTATCATTCATTTCATTTCTTTACTTTTATCATTCATTTCATTTCTTTACTTTTATCATTCATTTCATTTCTTTACTTTTATCGTTAATATCATTTCTTTACTTTTATCGTTAATATCATTTCTTTACTTTTATCATTCATTTCATTTCTTTACGTTTATCATTCATTTCATTTCTTTACGTTTATCATTCATTTCATTTCTTTACGTTTATCATTCATTTCATTTCTTTACCTTTATCATTCATTTCATTTCTTTACCTTTATCGTTAATATCATTTCTTTACCTTTATCATTCATTTCATTTCTTTACTTTTATCGTTAATATCATTTCTTTACCTTTATCATTCATTTCATTTCTTTACCTTTATCGTTAATATCATTTCTTTACCTTTATCATTCATTTCATTTCTTTACCTTTATCGTTAATATCATTTCTTTACCCTTATCATTCATTTCATTTCTTTACCTTTATCGTTAATATCATTTCTTTACTTCTTCCTTTATTTTATTTTATTTTTTTACTGATCCGTGTTTATTATTTTATGTCAAATTATATATTAATATATATTTTACTTGTTTAACTCTAATTGATTCTATTTTCTAATGTTATCTAAAAATTTTATAGTATCTAAAAGTACTAACTATAAGAACAATAAAATATATATATATATATATATATATATTTATTGATTTATTCTAATATCCTATATAATACTAAAATGCTATATTTTTATATATTATAATTCATTTATGTCTTTATATAAAATTCTTAAATATATTTTTTGATTCTTTAAAATCAATTGACCGTAATTTATTGATACAATACAACAATAATTTTCCAACTTTTTCTTTTTTTTTTAATTAAAAATTTTTTATTATATATAAGTATATATTTATTTACACATATATAATGATATATATTTATAACAAATAATGTTAAAATACCAAAAAAAAGAAAAACAAAATAAAACAAAATAAAACAAAATAAAATAAAGTAATAATTTTAAGTTTAAATTTTATTTTATATATTTTTATTTTTTCTCTTTACACTTTATTATATATTTTATGTATTATGTAAGTCATTAAAAAAAAAAATAATAAAATATAAAATAAAAATAAATAATTTATTTAATTATCTAATTGTTCTTTCCTTTTTTTCTCATTTTTGAATTTTTTGGTTTGCTTGAATTCTTTTCTTTTGGTTTTTTTTTATTTATATAAAAATATAATGCTTCAGCATTTTTATTAAAAACAGTAGTAATTAAATTGCCGTGCTTATCTTTAGTTACGACTTCGTATGTTTCGGAATTCCCCCAAGGTTCAGGAGTATCCAATCTGAAAATAAAAAAAAGTTATATATGTATATAAATATATATATATATATATATATATATATATATATATATATATATATAAATATATATATATATATATGTTTTTTTTTTTTTTATTTATTAATATTGGCGTGAAAAAAAAAAAAAAATATATTTTATTTATATTTATTTGTGTATACCTTAAAATACGTCCTTTTGGAACATTATATTCTCTCCTATGAAAGGAAAATATATATATATATATATATATATATATATATATATATATATATATACATATAATATTATTAAACTTTATAATGATATATTAATTCTTCTACACACTACAAATATATATATATATACATATTTTTATGAACTCTATATATTTTCATAAAATTATATAATAAACATAAAAAAAAAAAAAATCCATATTCTATTTTTTCCTTTTCTCATTTCTTATACTTATTATGATTCATTAAAAAAGAATTATCCTTTGCATTTTCATTCTGTAAAATAAAAAAATATATAATAAACATAAAAATTTATATATATATAAATATATTTTATAAACTGAACACAAAACAAAAATACTACACCCTAAAAAAATATATATAATACAACAAAAAATAAATAAATAAATAATATTTTTATAAAAAATATACAAATATACAAATATATATTCATTAATAATCTATAAATTTATAATTTTATTATATTTATATAAGAAAATATTTTAAACCATAAATAAATAAATACATATATATATATATATATATAATATTCTCTATATATCTTTTAAAAGGATAAAGAAATATTATATAAAAACAAAATTA